GAGATGTACTTCGAAAACAGGAAACATCTTGACCACTTACATAAGCCCATTGTCCAACTCACATGAACTTAATGAACCCATAACCACTCAGCTCTCCCTCACACAAGCTAATAACAAATATGAGCTACATACTGTCCTCTTACATATTACTTCTGGAATCTGGTTTATTGCTAACCACTACACAAGTGAAAGCCATTTTCATGTAACTGGCCCCTCAGCGGACATACGGATACATAAAAGGGCAGATGAGATGGTGGACAATGGAGAATACTTATTAATGAGTATGTGTTTTGCAGGCAGCTTAGAGGATATAGGGATAGTTCAGACAAGGGGTGAGCACTAACCAGATACAGGGAATAAATGGGAATCCACACATGGGAGACAAATATTTCAGACAGGGAGCAGGCAAGGCCAGAGTCCAAAACAAAGCAGGTAAGCATGAAAAAAAAGCTGTAAAATGACAAAATGACTCTTTGTGGACAATCTAACAAAGTGAGTGTAGACTGTAGACACATATACAGACTGTGTGATTTCACAGATAGACAGCAGGTGATTGTGGGCAGAGCAGGTAGTAGCAACTGGAGAGTAAGACAAAAGCAAGGGGCTGGATCTGAAATGACAGGGAAGACACAGGGCAGAGACAGGACCAGATCAAATAAACAAATGAATAAAAGGGCTATAACACACTCTGAGGGAAGACTAGACTGCATAATTTTCAATGAAACAGCAGGCCATTGTGTAACACTATTAAAGTCCCACTTAACACACCAAAGATGGCACCGCATATGTTTGCCTTGGTAAAGCGCTCTCTCGTGTGTCTGTTGCTTTTTCTCATTGTCTTGATCTTCTGCAGCCCATCCCAGATTACCTTCACCAGAGAAGAGCTACTAAACATCATACAACTCACTCCGAACCATAACTATATAACACAATGACAACCCTCAGTTCAGTACCTTGTAAATACAGTATACTTTTGTATATATCTATCTGAAAAACTCCATTTAAACTGTGTGTATACAGTATGTATTTCCATATTTATAAGTACTTTATTTTTACTTTCCTAATACACATTCATTTTTTGTTTGCATTGTTTTTCTTTTTTTGTTCTCTCACTCTTATCTTGTTTACTCGTTGCCTCATGGAAGAACATTGTACATGCACATTTAGAGCCACTGTACCAAAGTCAAATTCCTTCTGTTCAACCCTTGGCCAATATAGGTGATTCTGATTCAGATTCTGTTTCTGATTCTGAAATTCAAACTCAACTAAATTCCTGCATTCTTCACCACAAAGTCCCACTGACTCCTTAGTAAATATGAATATGTGCAATTTCATCAAAAAAATGAGCCACATAACCTTAGGAAATATCTCATTAAATGTTTGTCTATATGTGTCAGCTCTGTGATAAACTGCCAAGCTCTCCATGGTGTACCTCCCCTTTTCTCTGATTTTAGATGGGATTGGATCCAACCCCCATGCGTCCTTCCACGGCATAAGTTGGACTATACAACTTAGAAGTTATGATGTCGAGAGTTTTTTATGTGAATAGATTTAAAAATGAACTAACAGAGCAGTGATTAGTGTTGTCACCTCACAGCAACAAGACTCCGGATTCGAGCTCCAACCAAGCTGATCCCTTTCTGGAGTTTGCATATTCACCCTGTGCATGTGTGGGTCTCTCTCCAGGTACTCTGGCTTCCTCCCAGTCCAGCGACATACAGATTAGGTTGACTGGTAACTCTAAATTACATGTAGGAGTGAGTGTGGTTGTCTGTCACTAAACCTCAGCCCTGTGATAGACTGGCAATCTTCCAGGGGTTACCCCACTCAATCAATGCCAAATGGAATTGGCTCCAGCACACCGCAACCTTCTTCAAGTTAAGCAGTATAGATGATGGATGGATGAACTAATAGAACTTGTCATAATGTTTAAGAAGAACCAAATTTCCAAAGTTCCATCCAGCTTATGTTGAAGTACTTTTTAGACTTCATTTTAGGACCATGGATGCCATGATTCTACTAAAACTGTGAACCTGAACTGTTGCTGTCATGATTGTGATTTCTAACTTTGACAACAGACATACAGTGAGGTGCAGAGCAACACTACTGTTCTCCTACACACCAGGATTTATTTATCACGTAATCTGGCTATCTGGTCTCCATCATGGTGGTGTCTGAGGTTTGTTTCATACTTCCTGGTACACAATCAATTAATGTGGACTTTGCTTTAATATTTGTTATATCCTTCCGTGAAATGTGTTTTCTTTATATACACTGACCGCTACTGATGTCTGAACAGATCATAGTTTATGATTATGAATTAGCAAAATGGGTTAATTTACATACTTGTATCAATACAGTCAAAACCTCCTTTGATCATTAATATATGTGAAATTTAATAATAAGTTGGTATTTAATTATTAGATTTCTATCTAACAATATGTATAAAGTAGCCAAATGACTCTATATGCACAACACTCAAACACCTTGCTCCCCATTGTATTATTTCATTTCTCATCTTGGTAAATGATAGCAGGGACAGGAATGTTTAAATAAATAATTAGTTTTAACAAGTGGGGACACTCAGCATGTATATATTTTCACCATGTATATAAATCATAATGAAGTAATCATGTGAAAATGTATCTCAACTGGCTGATCATCTCTGCTGGCAGTAATGGGAAATAAACCGCAGAAAAATAGGACACAAATGTGGAATATATTCTGGCTAAATGGAATATTTGAAAATGCATTTAAAATAAACAGTGTTAAGAAAGTGTCTCCTCTCATTGTGGACTGCTGGGTATGACAGAGATGAAGATAAAATGAAATTAAGATATATACTTTCAAAAACCTTTTAAGGTAGACACAGAGAAACTCATGCGCAAAGAACTGGAGTACAGACTATTTGAATTGTACATGTGATGAAGAAAAATACAAGAGACAAAATAAGAGAAACATTTATATGCACGTGCCTAAAAACATCAAAGATACAGTTATTAATTTGTCCATACAAAGTGCTTGTCGCTTCAGTGACTTAGCAACAACACTTAAAAACACATTTTTCTCATCAAAAAAAGGTCATATGTCTCTTCTCAGTCTCTCCACAGTTTTTCTCTACAGTATGTTGGCCTCACAGGAGTTAGGCTGCAGTATCTCAAGTGTAACAATGAGTTTGACAGATTTTCTAAACCAGGGATAGAAAAAGGCATAAATCACAGGGTTTAGACAGGAGTTAAAATACATCAAAAAACTCATAAAAACCTCAACTGAAGAACCCATCATGATGTCATAGCCGGAAAAAGTGGCACAATAATATGGACAGTAACACAAGAGAAACACAGCAACAAGGACACCAAGAGTCCTGGCTGCTTTCAATTCTGATTTCTTAACAGTCACAGTCACTGTAAGCTGCAGTGTGACAGCTGTAATGTGAGAGCGCATGGCACGGGCCTGAGACACAGCCACCACAAACACTCTCATATACAGAATGATGATGGCAGTAATGGGAAGGATAAAGAACAAAACAATATCAACAGCTCCATTTATGTTAACTGCACATTGTCCATAGCAGGAGTTATACCTGCCTGGTTGTTTCAGGTTATCATATAAACCCAAAAAGCTATAGAAAATAGAATAAATCCAACACAGGAGAACAAAGACTTGAACTCTCTTTTGAGTGATTTTGGTGGGGTAGCGCAGAGGGTCACAGATAGCCACATAACGGTCGACTGATATGAGAACCATGTTTACTACTGACGCATTGACAGTGATACAGTTTAAGAAAAAGCACAGAACACACACCAGGTCACCCAGAAACCAGCACGGTTCTGTTAAGAGGATTTGTAATGGCATCACAAAGAGGCCAACGAGGAAGTCAGCGACAGCCAGAGAGAGGAGGAGGAAGTTGGTGGGGTTGTAGAGCTGCCTGCAGTGAGAGAATATCATCACTGTCAATCAGTATTATTACCAATGGAAGTAGTTGTTTTATGAAATCATTAATAATAGTTCAAACAACAGTGTTTCTAAACAGTAAATGTTTCTTATGAACAAAAGTCTCATCAAACCACAAATATAATACTATAATATATATAATACTACTCAAGCTCAGTGGTTTCAGTCAATCTCACTACAACAACATATGATCAATGGTAAAACATTTATTTCTGCCTGAAGTGGGAGATGGAGATGATGACCAGCAGGTTGAGAGATGCAGTCAGCACAGAGATGGAGGAAAACACAATGTAAATGATCATTGTCTCAGAGTGAGGACGTGTCTGCTTTTTGCAAGATGTGTTGAGGAGTTGTGGAAAGCAGAGTTCTGCTTCCTCCATCATCAGAGAGGAGAAGAGGGATAGCTAGTGAACATTTGCAGCTTTCTGAGGAATGTTCTGTATCATATAGCCGATTTATCTCTCGCATCATTCCCCCTCCTCCCTCCTGTTGTCTTTCACTCTGTGTCTCATAGATACTGAACTCCCTCCTCCCTAACTATGCATCATACTCTTCATTATTTTCATCACTCTCTGAAACCCTTTTTCTCTCTGGTGTAACAGGTTAACATTGGTTTGTTTTGACTGATGCAGGGACTCTAGTGACTACAGCACCAATTATGGCCTTTGAGAGACAACATAAGAAATAAATCCTGAGACTGTTCGAATAAACAGTCTCAGGAAATAAAAGAATTTAGCAACAAATGGTTAAGTTTACTTTTTACTTTGAACACTGAGTCATTCACTCAAGCATTGAAATAAAGCTGCTCTGATCAATGTTTTCGGATTAAAAATAAGTCTAATAACTATGTATTATGTTAATAAGTGATTCACTTCCATTTTCAATTACAGTTATCGTGTAAGCAAAACCAAAATTCCAAAGACTCGTCACTGTGATGTTGGTGGCAACATTTAAATTTTTGGGTAGAATCACCTGAAGCCTTGCAGACCATTACATCACCATTATGTCATTAACTTTGAGTCTGCTCTTTCCCGTAGCATGTCCTGTACCTTTCTGTATCTTTGGTTGGTCAAAATATGCCTGACCCTTTGTGTGCCTGGGGACACTTCTCTGTCTTTAATCATTTTAAAATTTTCTCCTTTCAACAGCTTTACAAAGTTGTTGACCACATGAAACATCCACCCGTTAATTAGATATAAGTTAATCTGATTTATTTAAAGGTAAAAAATCCATATTGCATGTCTGTTAGTGCCTTGTTTCTGTAACATTTGAGAGAACTGCTGTAAGGCTGGAGAAGTTACAATGTCTGCATTATGCCAGTTAAAATCTGGGGTTCCTTAATTACCTACTTTGTTTAGAGTGTTATAAATCTCTTTTCATCGGTACATATACCATTGTTTACCTATCTATGGAGGAGAAACTCATTAATTAATGCCGACACAGGTCGTTATGCTGTTCGCTTTTGACACAACACCAGAAACTGGAGTTGTGCACGTTTACAAACTATCCTCTTGTTTTTAGGAAGAGGCTCTCTGCTTTTATCATTCGGAAATATTTACAGACTATTTGGAGTTATGAGGGGTGCCAAGATAATCTAGAGTTACTCAAGATTAAACATTAAATGGCTTAAAATGAGCATGCCATGGCCACTTTAACCATTAATTTTAAAATTCATTATTGTGGCTTTCTTGAACAGACTTGGAGAATTAGTTTCGTATTTGTTTCTCAAACAAAACAACCCAATGTTACACCAGGAAGATAAGGGTTTCAGAGAGTGATGATGATGATGAAGAGTATGATTCATAGTTAGGGAGGAGGGAGTTCAGTATCTAAGACAGAGACTGAAAGACAGAAGAGCAGGAGGAGGGGGAATGATGAGAGAGATAAATCAGCTGTATGATACAGAACTTTGCTCAGAAAGCTGCAAGTGTTCAGCAGCTTCCCCTCTTCTCCTCTCTCTCTGATGATGAAGGAAGATGAACTCTGCTTTCCACAACTCCTCAAGACATCTTGCAAAAAGCACACACGTCCTCACTCTGAGACAGTGGTCATCTGCATTATGGTTTCCTTTGTCTCTGACTGCATCTCTCAGCATGCTGGTTGCTTTATGATTTATGTTTGACATCAAGTAAGACGGAATTGATTCTCTTTCATGCTGGTGTTCATGCTATTCTCCAGAGATACAGTAGCCGAGCTGTTTCCCTCAAGCGACTGTGTCTTCTGTGTCAGTATATTTGCCTCCAAGCTTCTCCTGCTGCAGCTACTTTCCCCCGAGCGTCTCTGCAGTAGCCCATCTCCCTCCAAGCTAACTGCTTAAGCTCCATCTCCTGTGCTAGCCTGCAGCAGCTCCTCTACTACCTGGGCTTTTCACTCACCACTCACAGCCTTCAACAAACCAACCTCAGAGCAGCTCTCCTCCAGTTCCCACCAGCCTCTACCTACCTACTTCTGTGAACTACTCCTCCTCCTACCTGGATATTGCAGGTCATCTCCCCCTCCAACACTCAAGCCAAGCACACCTGCCTACATCAGCGACCAAGCCACAGAACAACTACACCTCTCCTGGCAAAACCATCGGCACTCCCCTCAGTCTCAGTGAGTTGCCTCAGGCAGCAGTCCTTCACAAGTCCTACTCCTACAATCCTTCTTGAACATCCGCCATTACTGCTACCTGGCCGAAGCCACCATTACTGCTACCTTGCCGTTATCCCAGGCCGTCTATCAAGATTCTCCTGTGTCCAGCTTCAGTGCTCATAATCTGAATATTGTGTGCCTTCATTAAACGCTCTTTTCTGACTAGAACCTTGAGTTTTGCTATTTGAGTCCAGACAGTCCCTCTCTCACCAGGAGGTGAGAGACACCAACCTTAACAGGGATGCTGGAATGTTCAGACTCCTCTCTGCTTGTTATCACCAAAAAACTGGCTCTCCAGTTGTTATAACAACTGAAACTACTATATGGGAGTTGAATGTGAAACTAAGTTAAAGGGCCCATGACATGCTTTTCCTTGTTTTCTGACTTATCTACAATGTTACAACAGGGAATTATCATCTTAGACGTGACCTAAAGCTCAAAAAATGAGATGTATGTATGTTATAATACTTCTATGCAGAAACAACTCTGCTTACACACATCTCACAAACTCTTGCTCGCAAGCCTTTTTTTTCCCTAATAAAATGAAGTGATAGTTTAATGACTTCCTTCACTGGTCATAATCTCTAGGCAGTTGTGCATTCATGTGAGCTTGCCTGACATCCACCAGTGCAATTGTAAAAGTGGAATTTTTCGGCTGTGTCTGGTTTTGTGGATATATTTTACCACCTGCTGCTGCACTGTGACCAGAGGATATGGAGAAAAATACAGGGCCTTAGGTTACAGCATGTCCAGGAATGTTCCTGTACAAGGACTCACTGTTTTACCTGGCTGGGTCTAACCTACGATCAGCCAGCCAGTGAAGCACCGCCCGGAGCATAGTACCTGTTTGTTTTGACTGCTTGAGGCCAGTGTGTCTGCCACATGTGATGTGATGCAAGTTAACGAGCACCAATTCCCCCGGAGCACAGTACCTGTTTCTTTTGACTGCTTGAGGCCAGTGTGTCTGCCGCATGTGATGTGATGCAAGTTAATGAGCACCTTAAAAACCAGTAACAATAGATGCTTATTGGAGTTTCCAGCCCTGATGAGCCCTGTAACAGTGCACCACCAGTTTTGAATCTGAGCCAGAAAGGGTCCCAACAAACTGCTATCCTGGCTGGCCACATGAAGAGCCAGTCCTACAGCTGGCTAAGTGACCTCTTGATTGATATCTCACAAACTTGTAGTTGCTTCGACATTAAAGCCCATAAATTACAGAAATCACTGTTAATCTTCTCCCTAAATTATCCTTGAAATTGTGATTTAGTTCCAAAACCTAATGTCATTTATGTGAAATTTAATTCATTTTCTACCATCGCTAAAACAGACCATCCAGTCTTTCATCAATTCATCTAATCATCTTTGGAATTGAAACATCCTGACTCCCCACTCATTTTCTTAGGGGATTTTAACAGAGCAAACCTCACCCATGACCTACCAAAATACAGACAGCACATCAGTTGTCCCACCAGGGACAAAACCACATTGGACCATTGCTACACTGTGATAAAGGACCTTTATCCTTTTGTTCCTCGTGCTGCCCTCAGACTTTCTGATCACCGCATGATCCATCTCATCCTGACTTATAGTCAGAAAAATAAAGCTGCAAAGCCTGTGGTCAAAACAAAAAAGAGATGGGCCGAGCAGGCAAAGACAGAGCAACAGGCCTGCTTTGACTGCACAGATGGGATTGCTTCTAAAGGTGCAACAACAAACCTGGATGAACTCACTGGCACTGTGACATCATACATTAGTTTTTTTGACAACATGTGCGTGCCCACCAAGACCTTCTCCACATATAACACCAACAAACCCTGGCTCATAGTAAAATTCAAGCAGCTTCAGCACGCCAAAGAGGAGACCTACAGAAATGGGGACAGGATCCTGTAGAGTCAGGCCAGGAACACATTAGCAAGGAAGATCAGAGTAGCAAAGAAGAGCTACTCTGAAAAGTTGAAAAAACAGTTTTCAGGTGATATCCCTTCATCTGTGTGAAGAAGCCTACAGAACATCAGTGGCTACAGGAACCCCACTGTGGAGTTAATAGCTTTTAGAAACAGAACTCCACACACCTCATCTACCTTACCTCTGACCCAGCAGCTGCTCCCCCTGTGATCACATCCCTTCCTCTATCCCCCTAGCTCCGGCCCCTAGCCCCAGCGAAAAGGATGTGTATTGCCTTTTTATGAAACAAAAGATCAGAAAGGCACCAGACCTAGACAGTGTGAGCCTCCTCCTGCATGAAAGCCTGTGCTGATCAACTGGGCCCCATCTTCAGACATATCTTCAAAACTCCACCATCATCCTGATCCCCAAGAACCCCACAATTACTATACTGAACAACTACAGACTTGTCACCCTGACATCTGTGGTCATTAAGTCCTTTGAGAGACTAATGTTCGCCCACCTGAAGGACATCACAGACCCCTGCTGCATCCCCTGCAGTTTACCTACCAGGCAAACAGGTCAATGAATGATGCCGACAACATGGCACTGCATTACATCCTGCAACACCTTGACTCCCCAGGGACCTATGCATTGGTCCTCTTCATGGACATCAGCTTGGCATCACCATCATCTCACACATCATCCACTCCAAAGTGACTCAGTTCAATGTGCCTGCCTACACCTGACAGTGGATCACCAGCTTTTAACCTGAGACCACATGAGACAACCCCTTTGTTAAACTCCTAAAATTCGGACATGACACAAAGGTCATTGATCTCATTTGAGACAATGATGAGTCTGCATACAGATGGGAGGTTGAAGAGCTGGCTCCGTGGTGCTATTACAACAACCTGGAGCTGAACATGAACAAAAAAAAACTGGAGAACTGGTGCCCTTACACAATTAATTGCAGCCATCTTTCATGGTTCAATCATCACTTATTATTTTAATTTAAACAACTTACTTCAACAAGTAACCAAACAATATGCTAACCAGCATCATAAAATGTACATTATTAGCATGTGAAATGCAAGTAATATACCATGACAAACATAACATATATACCATGGCAAACATAACATATAACATATTGCTAATACACTAAAATAACAGAATGTGTACATTCTCTTAACAGATAATGCTTTAAACAGTTAATATGTCAGCATAAACAAATAACAATTTATCTTGTGTTAATCAGCTTGTGGCTAATGGTCTTCCACCCCACTAACAATATTAGCATTAGCACAAGTAAATGGACTTAATGCCTCAGCTTAGTTTGTCAGCCAGTGGCCTAACATGCTAGAATTTTTAATTCACCAGAACAAAGAACTGGGGAAATGGTACCTGGTCTCCAAGCTCAAACTGCAGTGAACTGACATGCAGCTTCTATTTAAACATGCATTTTACACCTTTTCACTATTACAGTGTTTAATCACACCTTTTTTACTCTGCAATCAACATTTAGCTGTCATCAGCTCCTGGCTATAACTGGTGCAGTGCCTTCTCACCTAAATCCTGTGACCAAAGAGGAACCATCAAAAGTGGGATGAGCCCAGCTGGTTAATGTGGAGGTAATTTCTGTTTTACTGTCTTATTGGAACTTTGTACTTAAAGTGAACTCATTCTGTTTTTGTTGTTTGCAGCCAGCGAGGTATGTTTGTTTACATTTAGGTTCCATCAAATTGACTCCACTGTAGTTTGTTTTCTACGATGTGTGTGTGTTAATTTGTGCATATTTTGTATGCTGTCATGTATGTTAGTAATTTGACCTTGGATTTGATGACAGCTAAGTGCAACTCCCCATCTCCCATTCCCCGACTGGCTTACATCCCACTGCCACTAACTGCCACACAAGCCCTACATCTATTTTCTGAAGTATTTTGTCACTGTTTATTCAAATATCCCAAAATCAGTTTATGTTATTGTAGTATTTCTGTAAGTAAAGCTAAATTCAATTTAATTAAATTCAGTTCACTTATGTTGTCTCTCAAAGACCATAACTGGTGCTGTAGTCACTAGAGTCCATGCATCAGCCAAAACAAACCAAGAGCAACCTGTTACACCAGAGAGAAAAAGGGTTTCAGAGAGTGATGAAGATGATGAAGAGTATGATGCTTATTGAGGGAGGAGGGAGTTCAGTATCTGAGATAGAGACTGAAAAACAGCAGAGCAGGAGGAGGGGGAATGAAGAGGGCGTTCAATCAGCTACCTGTATGACATAGAACCTTGCTCAGAAAGCTGAGTGTTTAGCAGCTTCCCCTTTCCTCCTCTCTCTCTGATGATGGAGCAAGCTGAACTCTGCTTTCCACAACTCCTGAACACATCTTGCAAAAAGCTCACACGTCCTCATTCTGAAGCAATTCTCATGTATACAGTGTTTTCCTCCATCTCTCTGCTGACTGTGTCTCTCAACCTGCTGGTCATCATCTCCATCTCCCACTTCAGGCAGAGATAAATGTCTTAGCATTGATCATATGTTGCTGTAATGAGATTCAATCAGTGACATCTGAGCATTACATTCTGGTGGTTTCATGAGATTTTTGTTCATAAGCTGTGCTGACAACACTTACTGTTTAGATAATTTGTATTGAACTGTTATTAATGATTTCATAAAACAACTATTTCCAATTGTAATAATGCTGTTTCTCTACATAAAATTGACAGTGCTGATATTCTCTCACTCCAGGCAGCTCCACACTCCGACCAACCTCCTCCTCCTCTCTTTGGCTGTTGCTGACTTCCTCATCGGCCTCCTTGTAATGCCAGTAGAAATCCTCCTAACAGAACCCTGCTGGCTCCTGGGTGACCTGGTGTGTGTTCTAGTTTATTTCGTACCTTGTATCATACTCTTGGCCTCAGTAGTAAACATGGTTCTCATATCAGTTGACCGTTATGTGGCTATCTGTGACCCTCTGCGCTACCCCACCAAAATCACTCAAAAGAGAGTTCAAGTCTTTGTTCTCCTGTGTTGGATTTATGCTGTTTTCTACAGCTTTCTTCTTTATTATGATAACCTGAAACAACCAGGCAGGTATAACTCCTGCTATGGAGAATGTGTGGTTAATATAAATGGAGCTGTTGACATGGTGTTGTTCTTTATTCTTCCCATCACTGCCATCATCATTCTGTATATGAGAGTGTTTGTGGTGGCTGTGTCTCAGGCCCGTGCCATGCGCTCTCACATTGCAGCAGTCACACTGCAGCGTTCAGTGACTGTGACTAAGAAATCAGAACTGAAAGCAGCGAGGACTCTTGGTGTCCTTGTTGCTGTGTTTCTCATGTGTTACTGTCCATTTTATTGTGTCACTCTCTCTGGCTATGACCTCATGATGAGTTCTTCAAGTTCATTCTTTGTGCTTTTTCTGACAAATTTTAACTCATGTCTCAACCCTGTGATCTACACCTTTTTCTACTCCTGGTTTAGAAAATCTGTTAAACTCATTGTTACACTTGAGATACTGCAGCCTAACTCCTGTGAGGCCAATGTACTGTAGAGAGAAACTCTAGAGAGACTGAGAAGAGTCGCATGAACTTTCTGTGAAGAGACAAATGTGTTTTTAAGTGTCATTGGTAAGTCACTGAAGTGAAAAGCACCTGTTATGGACAAATTATTAAACTTGTCCTTGATGTTTTTTGCTCATGTGCACATAAATGCAGTCATCTTATTCTTTCGCTTGTATTTTTCTTCATCACATGTAACAATTCCATCCGTACTCCAGTTGTTTGCAGAGGAGTCTCTCTTAAAAGGTTTTTGAGTGTATATTGGTTAATTTGATTTTATCATCACCTCTGTCATGCCCAGCAGTCCACAGTGAGAAGAGGCATATTCTTTCAGTGTATTTTATGTAAATGCATATTCAAATATTCCAATACCAGTAAAATCTCACTTACCCAGAATATATTCCACATTTACCGTACAGTATGTTCTATTTTTTTCTGTAGTTTGTTTCCCATTACTGCCAGCAGAGATGATCAACCAGTTGGGATACATTTTCACATGATTACTTTATTATGGTTTATATACATGCTGAAAATGAGCTGGGTAGCCCCACTTGTAAATTCAAATTTATCAGATTGAACATTCCCATCCTTGCTATCATTTACCAAGATGAGAAATGAAAAAACATAATAATAAGGAGCAAGGTGATTGAATGTTGTGAATATGGAGTTGTTTGTCTACTTTATACACATTTGTCAAAAGAATTTCCAAACAGAGCAACAAAGTCACTGGAATGGTAACAGCAGTATTCTTTACTTGGCAAGGAGTCAGCATGAGCATACAGAGTTGTCTGAATGAGATAGGTTGAAACAGTACAATATATATTTGAAGGGGAACTCCCTGAGGACGTAACCCAGGCGTCAATCAAGTCGTAAAGTAGATTTAAACAGCAAAGTAGAATTTGAGAGGGTTTGCCCTGATAACCCCTTAGACACTAAATAAGCTGGGTGCATGTTTATCTTCACAGTTTATGGCTGGCTCCTCTAAGTCTGGGACACCCTATAGTTGAATATATCACAGCACACAGAGTACTAAAAGAAAGATAAAACATATCCTTCAGTTCACACAAGCAGTTTCTCACAGTTGTCTGTTCTGAAAGTGTAAAATCAACTGAATGGCATATGTAGGTTAATATATTGATTAAAACACAGCTTAAAACATATTTAATAATGTAATTTTCCTGACAACATTGTTACATAAAAATATAAATTAAATACCATCTGATTATTTAATTTCACACAGAATAATGATCAAAGGAGGTTTTGACTGTATTGATACAAGTATGTAAATTAACATGTTGTGCTAATTCATAATCATAAACTATGATCTATTCAGACATCAGTAGAAGTCAATTTATATAAAGAAAAACACTTCACAAAAGGATATAACAAATATTAAAGCAAAGTCCACATTAATGGACTGTGTACCAGGAAGTATCAAACAACCTCAAACACCACCATGATGAAGGCCAGATAGCCAGATCATGTGATAAATATATCCTGGTGTGTAGGAGAACAGTAGTGTTGCTCTGCACCTCACTGTGTGTCTGTTGTCAAAGTTAGAAATCTCAATTGTACAGCAACAGTTCAGGTTCATAGTCTTAGCAGAATTATGGGATTCACTGTCCTAAAAATCTAAAAATAACTTCAGTGGTGTGGATGGATATATATATAAAACATAAAAAATTTCCTACTTGCCTCAGTTTAGGGCGGTCTTATTCCCTCCTTCAAGCTCGGGTCCTCTACCAGAGGCCTGGCAGCTTGAGGGTCCTGTGCAGTATCTTAGCTGTTCCTAGGACTGCACTCTTCTGGACAGAGATCTCAGATGTTGTTCCTGGGATCTGTTGGAGCCACTCTCCCAGTTTGGGGGTCACAGCCCCAATGCTCCTATTACCACAGGGCCCACACTTGTGCCTTCACCTTCCACTACTATGTCCGGTTGGTTGGCCATTACCAGTTTGTCAGTTTGTATCTGGACGTCCCACAGGATCTTAGCTTGGTCATTCTCAACCACCTTTGGAGGTGTATCCCATTTTGACTTTGGGGCGTCCAGCCTGTACTCGGCACAGATGTTAATTTGTGCCTTCACCTTCCACATCTTTTCTAGCTCTTCTTTCAGCCCTTGGTATTTCTCGAGCTTCTTCCTGATGTCAGACTTTCCAGCATTTTTTCTTGTTCCTGTTTTTCATGTTTTGACCCCGGATTGTATTTTGACCACTGTGTACCTCCTTGCCCTCCTGATTCAGGCTGCTTCCTGTGTATGGATTATCGGACTTCCCTCTTGAACCTCTCGTTTGTGGATTCCTCAGCTGTGTGGTTTGTGGATACCTCAGCTGTGCTTGCTGGCTCTGACCCTGGACTGTATTAACAACCTGAGAATATGTTTCAAGTTACGTAGTTTTCTGTATCGTGTTGTTATTGGTGCGCGTATTAAAGTGACAGTGTTTTATTTATCCTCGTCTGGCTTTATAATTGAGTTCACCCTGTGTTATCATTGGCAGCTGTACACGCCGACCCTGACAACTTCTTCTATCTGATGGTGGTACATACCATGCAGGGGTTTGTCCTTCCATGACGGTTCCTGATCTTCCTTCCCTTGTTCTTCTGGTTTCTGCTGCCTGAGGTATTCACTAAGCACATCATCACTCTGGGCCATCTGCCTGATGTATTCATGGATCTTTGCTGTTTCATCCCGGATAGTGGCTCTGATGCCCACTAATCCTCTGCCTCCTTCCTCCTGCTTAGTGTACAGTCTCAGGATGCTAGATTTGGGGTGAAACCCGCCACGCATTGTAAGGAGCTTCCTTGTCCTGATGTCAGTGGCCTCTATCTCCTCCTTTGACCAGCTTATTATGCCAGCAGGCTACCTGATGACCAGCAGGGCATAGGTGTTAATCACTCAGACTTTGTTCTTTCCTTTCAGCAGACTTCTCAGGACTTGCCTTACTCTCTGCAGGTACTTTGTAGTTGCTGCTTTGTGGTTGGAGACACAGTCATGTGTGTACATGGTGAAGAGTTTGGGGGCTGATACAGCAGCCCTGCAGTGAGCCTGTGCTGATTGTGAGCTCAGCAGACACCCATCCTCTCTTTCTCACCACCTGTGGTCTTTCAGTCAGGAAGTCCAAGATCCAGTTACAGGTGGGAGTCGGGACCCCAAGGTCTGTCAGCTTCTCAATCAGCCTGCCTGGGAAAATTGTGTTGAATGCAGAACTGTAATCCAGGAAGAGCATCCTAGCATACTTGCTGCTGTTATCCAGGTGTTTCAGGGTATGGAATAGAGCCAGAGCTGCCGCCTCGTCCACTGATCTGTTGGGGCAGTAGACAAACTGGAAAGGGTCTGCAGTGTCCGGGACCATGTGGTTAACATATGTGAGGACCAGTTTCTCCAAGAACTTCATGGCAACTGATGTGAGCGCCACTGGCCTAAAGTCATTCAGAGTGGATGTGACTGATGTCTTAGGGACCGGTATGATTATGGATCTTTTGAAAATGCAAGGGACTACTGCTTGGGTTAAAGACAGGTTGAAGATGTTTGTATACACACTAGGTAGTTGATCCCCACAGGCTTTCAACACTTTAGGGGGGACACCAACTGGTCCTGCAGTCTTATGGGGATTTACCTGTCTCAGGGCCTTAAGGACCTGTGTGTGTGTCACTTGAAAAGCAGTGTCCCCCAGGTCACAGGGGGATTTTGAACGGGTATCTGTGTTCATCCTGTCAAACCTAACATAGAAGTTATTAAGGCTGTCTGGGAGGGTGGCGTCCTGGGGGGCTGTGTCTATTGATTTGTTTCTTTACTTTGTGACTGCCTGGATTCCCTGCTACATGCTGCATGTTTTGTTATTCATGTAGCAGCTCTCCAGTTTTTGGAAGTATGCTTTCTTTGCAGCTCTGATGGGCTTCTGTAGTTCGTACCGGGCTCTCCTGTACTCCGCTTGGTCTCCTGACTTGAAAGCTTCCCGCCTCTTCCTGATTTTTTGTTTTATGTCCCTATTAAACCAGGGTTTTTGGTTGGGGAAAACACACACAGTTCTAGGTGGGGCGCATATGGACGTGCACCAGCTGATGTAATCACTCAATCTCTGCATATTCATGGATATTGTCTGTGGCCCCCTCAAAGATGTTCCACTCTGTGGCCTCTAGACAGCCCTGCAGGCTGGCCTGTGCACAGTCAGTCCAGGTGTTAAGAGTTCTCACTGTGACTTGAGCCGTTTGGTGTAAACTGGTTTGAGCCAGATTGCACTCTACCAAAATGAGGCTTAGGTTCAGCTGAGAAAGCATTTCTAATGTTACTGTAACATTGGTCCAGTGTTTTGTTTCCTCTAGTAGAAAAGGTTACAAACTGATACAGTTTAGGCATGCTTTTGCTGAGACTGCAGTGATTTAAAATTTCCCATAATAATAAAAGCAGCATCAGGATACAGTATGTGTTTGTTTTCATGCTCATTGATCATTTTATACAGTTCCTTGAGTGCGGTTCCTCCTCTTTGCCTGAGAGGGGAGCATACACTACACTCACTACACTGTAGTTCTCTGGGCAGAAATGGCCTTAGCTTTAGTGTTAAATATTCCACATCTTCATAACAGAATTTGTAGAGAATCTTACAGTCGGTCGACCAGGACTGTTTGACGAAGGCGGCTGTACCTCCTTAGTGGGTCTTGCTGCTTTCTGCTGCACTACGGTCCTGTCTGAAAACAGAGTAACCACCCAGAGTTATTGCCTCATCGGCTGTCTCTTTCCCCAGCCATGTTTCACAAAAACACAGCAGGGAGCAATCTTGTATGTCCTTCTGCGTGATAATCCGAGCGTGGAGTTCATCCATTTTATTTTCCAGATTGCATGTGGCAGGCTTCAGCTGGCTCTCCATGCCTAGAATTAAAGTTTAATGTGTTCATTATGAATATTCTGAGTCCCTCAGAATAAAACATAGCTTTGGACTTATGGACACTACAATAACTAAATGCAGCATACACATTATTGATTCTAATTACCAAATAATTAATTTAACCTGATATCCATCAAATATGATTGCAGTAAGAAAATATTTACAAAAAGAAAGTATTTAAATAAACCCGCTATCATATATTAGATGCACTTTAGATTCACCTTCCACAGACAAGTATTGAAAACAAAACATGTAAACATAATCTGTAACTGCACTGCAGATGCATGCTTTGTACTTTCAGTCAGGCATATTTTGTCTCATATCTTTCGTTTAATACAGTGCCAAGGCTTTTGTCATGATGTTAGGTTCAGTGCAGAAATTCCCTAGTCAAAGAGAAAGCAGATTTGTTTTCTTTGTCGTTAGTTTCATTTTGACTTGTTTACATTATTTCATACATTTGTGGTGTCATGGTTTCTGCCGGACTTCTGGGTTTCTATAGATGTTACTCTCAGGCTGGAGCTTTAATCTTGGGCTGAGCGCTGATTTTGGTGCGCTTCTTGTTTCCCATGGATATATATACTAGATGCGCATGAGCCACCTCAATCTATTACGGTGACATATCATTGTGGCCACCATGTTCTCAGGGGTGAGGCTGAACCTCCTAATCTGTGTATGTGTTTGAGGGTAGGGAATTTATCCACACCAAAATCATCTTACCTCTTTGCAGCCAATTTTCTAGCTGTTTAATTTATTACAAACCCCAGATATGTATTCATGATACAGGATGTTTGGTTAAATAGAAAATTCAGATGATCATATCAAAACACTTAATCTCTTGCAGATTGTAACAAGATATTCACATGTAGAACATAAACTTCATAATTATTAAAAAGTAACTATCCTGCCACCCCCTACATTGTAAAATGGCTTCCATATAGTTAAAAGATTAAATGCATATTTTGGCAGGTTACACCATTCTTTTTAATTACATTTCTAATGAAATGTTCATATTTTATTCACTTTTTTATGCACAATATTTATACACAGTATGTACTAGAAGGGTTGCATAGAGTTATAGTTTAACACTTATTATTACTCATATGTTCTGTTCTATATGTTCACTCCTTGAACCACCACCTTACTGTGGTGGAAGGATTTGAGTACCCGAGTGATCCTAGGAGTTATGTTGTCGGGGGCTATATGCCCCTGGTAGGGTCTCCCAAGGCAAACAGGTTCTGGGTGATGGGTCAGACTAAGAGCCCTTTATGAATAGAATTCAATCAAAGACCGTGATGTCACCCAGCATGGTGCAGCCAGGGCCCCACCCTGGAGCCAGGCCCGGGGTCGGGCTTAACCCGAACGAGCGACGTCGGTACGTCCTTCCGTGGGCCCATCACCTGCAGGAGGATCCATGGTGCACAGTGGATCGGTCAGCAGTCGAAGGCAGGGGCCCCAACAACCTGATTGCTAGACACAGAGACTAGCCCTGGGGACATGGAATGTCACCTCGCAGGTGGGGAAGGAGCCCGAGCTTGTGCAAGAGGTTGAGAGGTACCGGCTAGATATAGTCGGGCTCACCTCCACGCACAGCTTGG